AAAAGTTAAGCGCCTACCTAAAACGGCTCGTTCTAACACGCCCCAACATACCTACGATACTCTGTGGGAACTGTGGGAAGACGCCGCCCAAATGTTCAGGCAAAGAAAGAAGGCATAACTTTTATTCTCGCTGTAGTATTGTTGTTTCCGCTGCCATGTGTAAAGACGCCGTGTGCTTCGTTGTGAAAGCGAAACTACTTTGTTTGGTCTTCCAAAAGAGGACGATATCTGCTTCGTCATGCCTGGAGCTGATCCGTGCTGGTTGCTGAGGAAATACATCAACTTTGCGCTGTGGATCGCCGGATCGGCTTTCACCGTGGATGAAGCGGAGTCCAGCCCGGGGTCGTCACATGTGGTTGCCGCAAGCCCTCCGGACGCTCCTTCGTCGAATCTGCCGCCTCTGCTCACTCTAACCCTCCGGCCGTTCCTCACTCTAGCCGCCGGCCTCTGCTCACTGTATGCCGCGGTGTGTGACGCTGTTTCGTTGTGAAAGCGAAACTACTTTGTTTGGTCTTCCAAAAGAGGACGATATCTGCTTCGTCATGCCTGGAGCTGATCCATGCTGGTTGCTGAGGAAATACTACAACTTTGCGCTGTCGATCGCCGGATCGGCTTTTAACCGTGGACGAAGCGGAGTCCAGCCCGGAGTCGTCACGTCCTTCCATAGTGCTTGTTGTTTGTCATTTCTCCGATCACAAATGCAGACATGGTTTTATGTTTACGTGGCGCGACGCAACGCGTAAAAAGACAGTATACTTAAGTCATTATTGTAATGAGTGGGATGTTTAGTCCACTAGGTGGCAGTTAATGGATTGTATAAAGTCCAGTGCATTTGCTAAGGAGTGGTGTGGTGTGCAACAACAGCATGCTGTCTCAGTGGCCTTACACATGATTTTAAATCTATTTTTTCCAACTTTGATTTAAATGGGGATGATTGTACTGAGAATAACTGTCATCTTATCTTCAACTGAATACTGTTTCCGTGCTGTTTTGATGTATTTTAAAGAGTTGGCAGTCAAAATTAAAACTGCTGGATGATAGATACCCTTCATTCTTTATGACAAATAAGATAATGTGAATTACAGAATGTACAACGTTTTTAAAAAGGTATCAATTTGGACAAGTACTTTTACTGTACTCGCACTACATTTTTTGGAAGGTAATGGTACTTTTACTTGAGTATATTTTTTCAGTACTCTTTCCACCACTGCTGGCGAGCAAGTTCACGCTGATTTCCCCCTAAAGAGGACACAGTGCTGAAATTAAATATCTGATCTCAAGATGTTTCAATCTCAATTTAACCCTAAAAAGCCTACTGTGTCATAGGATATATGGTTTTCTAAGGCCTCTAAACGATCAATGTCATTTTATTGGAAAACCTGTTGTACACAATCTTCAACATACCTTCAGCCCTCGGTTCATAGTTTTTAGTACGTTAAAAAGTCTTTTAGCATAGTTCTATAAACAAGTCCACCTTCAGGTCGTAACACGCATGCCATTTTTTTTTCATGTAAGATATTAATATTGTCAGTAATATTTCAAAAACTTAATTTTACTAGACCAAAGCAAATTAAGCAGAACTTTTTTTTTTTTTTTTTTAAGAAAATTGTTAATGTTGTGAGGAACCAGCTCTGTCAGTCATCATTGCATTGTTTTGCCAACCACAATGAAAACTACGGAGCTTTCGTCACAAAACTAAACCCTTAAATGCCATCTTTACTAAGCTAAGGAGATACAGAGTGACAATTGAGATGTATGTGCATTTTATGTAGGTGGGTAGTTTGCTACACTGTTATAAAAATCTCACTGGTTCAGAAGCTATCACAATTTTATTTACTTTTGTCCATTACACACACAGTTTGGACTTCTGAATATTTTTTTTTTCCTCTAGTGTGAGCTCCATATTCTCACAATATCAGGGGTGTGGACTCGAGTCACTTGACTCGAGACTTGACTCGGACTCGAGTCCCAAATTTGATGACTTGCGACTCGACATAATTAAAGAAGACTTGAGACTCGACTTAGACTTTGACAACTCGAGACTTGACTTGTACTTGAGCCCTGTGACTCGGAAAGACTAAACGCGTCCCTGCAGAGTGCTTGCGCTTGACTGGCAATAAGCCAGAGACTGCGTTCAGGGAGCGCTGGATAGGCTAGTATAAATTAATGGAGTAATAGCATAACTTACGACAAAAGAACAGAGATGTTAAAAATAACAAATGACATGATTCGTCTAGTAGCGATCTCCGCTCGTGAAAAGCGCTGCCCTGTCCGTTTGATCGCCGCCCAGCAGACACACGGAGCGGGCATGAGAAACTTCACTGGTGCTCGCCTCATCATCACCGTGACCGCTGCTGTTAAATATTCCTCACTTCTTCTGTTTGTCCGACACCGAGGTGCACCATGAGTGATGAATCCGCATCTCGCCACGACCGTCGCACTCTGCCAACTCGATGTGCTTTCATTTTCATTTTTATTTGCAATAAACACCTCTCTGAGACCTGTTTTTGTTCGATCAGTTACATATTTTAATTGCATGTGCTTTTTTTAAATTTAAACCTCCATTAACCCTTAAATGCATAAATGTTTCGCAAATCATTATTACATATTCGGGTCTTTAGCGACCCGGACCTATATTTACAGCACGGATGGATCTTTAACTGCTGCAATAGCAAAAAAAAAAAAAAAAAAACTCAAAATTTTAAAAACAATTACAGAACACCGCCCCGTTAATTCCCAGAACTATTTGAAACTTCCTGTGCAACCGGCAAAATGTGATAAGAATAATAGGGCTGGGCAAAAAAAAAAGAATAGATTTTTCGATTAATCGTTTTTTTAAATGATGTCGATTCGATATTGATTCTCAAAAGCCGCGAATCGATCTTTTCCAG